TTCTCTTTACCTATCTATCTAGAAGATAGAATTTATAGATCTGACTGAAACAAATCTATCTATTTATCTAGAATAAACCTGCCTATCTATCCCTTTCGAAGAATGCGACTTATTCGCTCCAGTTCGTCTGACATCGTCATTTAAATATGGCGGTTCGAATCTCGCAATTAAATCAATTCGGCATCGCTGAATATGCGATCGAGCGAGATAAGCGCGGCGTACCTCCTGCCCGACATCGCGGCGGCCAGAATTTGGCGGTATCTGGTGAAGATGCGGCAGGACGCATTCGGATCGATGCGGAGGATACCGCATCACGTAAAGCGAGATTGGTCGGATCTGGTAGCTCGCTCGTGACCCGGGCCAGCTCGCGACCTTGGCCCGCATTTCAGAAATGCAGCTGCGCGCATGGCGCCACATGCATACTCGAGTGTGTCCACTGGCATACGCGGGCTGTCGCCGGGGAGCCCTATCGAGCCAACCGACGTGGTGCGCGTCGCGAGACATAATTCACGGGGCAGGTCCAAAGGTCAAACGAATTCCTAAACAAATACCTGCGTCCACTGAAACCACTGTCGACGTCGTTAGGCTTGCCAGATACCAACATGCGATTAACGCGACTGCGAGGGTCGGGAAACGCGACGTAGAAATCAATTGTTCGGTCGTCGTTGAATTATGTCGGAGTGCTCGACGACATTTGTCTAGACAACGATTTTCCAGGCGCGACACGAGCCCCGTCGGACGTAATTAAAATGAGCGGACGTCGTGTAGCGCCTCTCGTCTGTCGGCCGTAGGAGCGCCGCAATAAAAATGCAGCCGCATCCTCCGGCTCGGCGAACCGAATGAAAAAGCGGCAAGGAATTTACTTGGCGAACTTTTCCGAACCGCAACGCGCATACATACGTATATGCGTACGTACGTGAAATGAAAGCCGCCGGAAACAAAGACGAGCCCGCCAATCAACGCCGGAATTGTTCCAATCAAACGGGATGAAAATTACAGTCGGCCGAGCGCGGGGGCGCTTTGTTCCTTTCCGACGGTATCTCTCTTTTTTTCGGGAGGGGACGCGATTGTTTTTCCGTAAAGCCAAGCGCGATGCAAAACTCTACACTTCGAGGTGACAGGACGTCGATGGAGAAAGAGAGAGGAGCAGCCTCTTTTTTTACCTCCCGATGGGACGTTGATTAAGTTTAATTAAACGTTCGGGTGCAGCACGACGTTTCGAAGCAATTTTTAATCGACCGGACTTGCACGCGCGCAAAAGAGCGTCTCTGTCGTGTGAACCCTACCGCTGTATTGTATTCCCTTCGTGTGTTCCCCTTTCAACGCGACACACTTTTTCATTTCATCCTCTTGAGGTTTGATGCAAAATCGACGACTGCGCGGATGAGACCTCGAATTCTCGACGAAGGGAAATGTCATGAACGCGATCGCGAATTTTTTATTACCAATTAGGGTGTATCGCCTATATTTCAGAGGTAATGAAGAAATTTGAAAAAAAAAATAGAAACTAATCTATATTGCATCAAAAATAGTCACAAACAATTTGACATTGATTCAAAGTCTGGATCAAAAGTTACACCTCTTTGAAGTAAAAGCCCAATAAACATGATGACGTTAAGTGATATACTGAGAAAAAAAATTTACTAAATTTCAAAAAACGTTTGCTTGGATAGTACTGTGAAAATATTTGTTTAAATTAAGTAATTATTTTCTAAAATTAAATAAAGAAGTTTTAAATATAAATTTGTTTCTTTAATTTTAGAAAATAATTACTTAATTTAAACAAATATTTTCACAGTACTATCCAAGCAAACGTTTTTTGAAATTTAGTAAATTTTTTCTCAGTGTACGTATTAATGACGATATGGGTTAATTTTTAATTCTTTTCAAATTTCCTCATTATTACTGAGATATGGCCGATGCATCCTTAATTAATAACTCAAAATTTGACGTGCTTGTTTGCGAAATGGTGTGCGAATTTTGTGTTCGATGAGTTCTACCTGCATGCAACGTGTGTGTGTCACGAATTGTAAAGACATCCTATATACGTTCGGAAATGGAGAAATACAGCGACTCGGTGCAGCACGCAGGTGTGTCAAAGTTTCGCGGCCCGCGACTTAATGAAATATTCCATTCATGGTAATGTTTAACTGCGGACTCTGACTTCCAGTAGCGCGGACGCGCTGCCGGCCAGTTGCCGGAGTAGTCAAGAGTGCAATTAGTTCTTCCTCGCGCTACCCTACGATTCTCCCTCCCTCTCTCTTTCTCTCTCTATCTCTCCCTTTCACTCACTCGATCGAGTCGAACTTTTCACGTCCGGCCGCGGAAGAAGACTTACCGCTCTCTCGCCGGTGAAGTTCCTCGACCGCTGGAAGGGAGATTGGATTAGGTCGGATTGGATTTATTAAGAGCTTCGGAGAGAATCGAGAAGTCTCGGCGAAATATTTAAAAATACACCGGCTGCAAAGGGAGAGCCCTGAACGCGCGCTTAACGTAATTGCACGATGCAAGAGCGCGGGATGGAATATCGCGCGTGAAATACGATCACTTTTGTATTTTTTCTCCGAGAGAGAAAGAGAGAGAGTTTGCTATCGTGATGAATATGCATGATAGATAGGAATCTATTAATTTCACTATTTCTACATGTATTCATTCATGTATTCATTTATGCATTCATTTATTAAGCAAGGCATTAATATCAGCTTAACAGCTGTTGCCTTTTAGTCGTTTCCATCGCATAACATCTTGCCCGTTATTTCGTATCTTTGTATATTAAAATATTCAACAAAGTAACATTGTTATTATCAATATAATGGATTATTACACCGCGACCAAATGGGACTCTACAGAAAGAGAACGGTAAATATAAACATAAATACGAGCACAAAAAGCGGAGAAGTGAAATACGAGAATATCGAATAATCGACACTCGCGCGTAATGCGAAAACGTGATCGAGCGTTTCGGCGTTATAATCCGACGGTATTATCTCTAAGTTCATCTCCGTATGCTCGCTTAATCCTATTCCACACGCGCAATGTCCAATGACGACCTTAACCCGCGCAATCCCGGATGCACAATGGTGTGGGGAGCTTCGCTCATGTGCGCGTTGGCCTCCCACATAGCCCTCGGTGGCATTCGAGAGGTTAACAACGGACGGACAGGTCAATAGGGGGTAGCCGAAGCTGCTGGCGGCGCGTAAGCTTCGCGGTAGGGCATATAACGTGTCCGATCCCACCTGCATGACGAGCCGATTCGATAATCCCTTAATCCATCGGCAATTAGCTCGCGCTGCGGCGGACTCGTCGCGAGCTCGTTGACCTTCCCCGCGAGAACGCTCGTCCGATACGATTTATCTCGTTTCGCTCGGCCTACTTTTCAAATTAGCGACGAGGCTTCGTTCGGCCGACGTGACGAATCGGTGATGGAAACGCGAGACGAGCAGTTTACGGAACCTCGTGTCCGTAAATTCGCGTCCGCACTTTCCAATTCCAACGATTTCACGGGGACTTGTGTGAACTTGGCACACCATATTTAAAAATGTGACATTTTTTTTAGAGTTCTGATACGCTCTTGAAAAGTTCTAGAGCTCTATGCAACAATTTTAAATAGTTCCGGTTATTAAATACAAAAAAATAGACTTTTAAAAAAAGGTGCGCTAAGTTCACGCAGCGCACCTAATCAGTAAAATCAACTATTTCTTTAGAGTTCCGGTTTGTTTTACAATAGTTCTAGAGTTCTATATCATATATAACAATAGTTCTACTAATTAAAAGCGAAAAGTCGATTTGCGAAGACCTAATTCACAAAATGTGAAATACCGACAACAAAATAAGAGAGATTAACACTATTTCGCGAGTTCTGCATATTTGAAAATATTTTCAACATTCACTTGTAATCAGGGAATGAAAATATAAAGAGTTTTATGCGATAGCAGAAATAATTTCTTCATAAAAAATTATAAAGTGTTCGAGGTCGCGTAACTTTAGCAGCAGAAGGGGTGTGCCAGCCGCACATTGAGAGTTCCATTGGTTTAAAAATATTTTTAACGTTCACTTATGATCAGAAAACGAATGTCCAAAGAGTTCTGCGCGACAGCAGTAATAATTTATTTATAAAAAATCATATAGTATTCGAGGTCGCGTACATTTACGAGCAGGTGGGGTGCGCTACCTGCGCTTTGAGAGTTCTGTCGGTTTAAAAATATTTTCAACGTTCACTTGTAATCAGGGAATGAAAATATAAAGAGTTCTGCGCGATTGCGGTAATAAATTATTTATAAAAAATTATATAGTGTCCGAGGTCGCGTAAATGTACCAGCAGCTGGGGTGCGCTAGCCGCAGTTTGAGAGTTCTGATGGTTTGAAAATATTTGTGACATTCAATTATGATCAAGGAATGAACATCCGAAAAGTTCTGTACCATAGCTGTAATAATTTATTAATAAAAAATTATACAGTGACCCAAGCCGCGTAACTGTAACAACAGGACATTCGTTTTCTGATCATAAGTGAACGTTAAAAATATTTTTAAACCGACAGAACTCTCAAAGTGCGGCTGGCGCACCCCTCCTGCTGCTAAAGTTACGCGACCTCGAACACTTTATAATTTTTTATGAAGAAATTATTTCTGCTATCGCATAAAACTCTTTATATTTTCATTCCCTGATTACAAGTGAATGTTGAAAATATTTTCAAATATGCAGAACTCGCGAAATAGTGTTAATCTCTCTTATTTTGTTGTCGGTATTTCACATTTTGTGAATTAGG